GACCCAGGGGTCATGTGAACAGTTTTGGTCTTTGAGACCAATGACACTTTTCCATGAAAGATCACTGATGTCATGAACTTGATGTAGCCTCGGTTCCTTGTTGAGTGATAAGGAATTAAAGGGGTTATCTGTCTCCCCAGTCTTGTTGGTGGAGGATGTGGTCACTCATTTTCTTCTAAATTTAAAAAAAAACTATGTTTTCAAGGTCAAGGAAAGAGTTTGATGGACCAAATTGATGAACCCTTGGTTTCCATTTTCAGTTCTGATGATATGATGCACTTTTGTAATTCATCAGTCATACAAACAAATTCCTGAAGTTCTGTCTTAAGATTTACATTCTACTTTTCTAACAAAGATGCAGTTAACATTTGAATGTTTTATCATCATGGCTTTTAATAAGAGACTGCAATTTATGATGTGGGCATTCCTGATGTGTAATCTGACTCATATTGCTATGGTGATGGTGAGATCCATAATGAATAATGAGATGGGTTGACTTGTCCATGTCTCCTTGGAGTTGGTGCCCAAAGGATCATATCCTTTGGGAGAGGAGTCATCACTCACAATCTTGAGGCCCACAATAATAACAAATTTATTGTAGTCCGAAATTTGAAAACAGTCTTTTACAGGTCTTCCCAATTAATGGCTCACTATCAGAGTTGGGTAATAATGTGCTACTGTACCATATTACCCATTCACGAAATTAGAAATGGTAATCATTCCATCTTTTCAGAAACAGCATGTTTCTTTTTGTTTGCAAGTGGTCATCATTGCAAGTGAAAAATGAAGGGAAAAGATCTCTATTTTTGTGTGTTCCAGCTGTATATGTCCTCTTTCAGTCTGGATTGATGGTGATAGTGAGCATGTCATTGATTAAAAAAGGAACTAGTAATGGTAACCATTTCATTTTCTGCCTAAGTAACCATTGTTAAGGTGACTTCCTGAAAAAAGAACTCTAACAGTAAATAGTTCATTTTTAAGAGTAAAATGCTCACTGTGCAGTTTTTGGCCATTCCAGTCTGCAGCAATAAGTGAATCATTTCACTGTCCTTGCTCTCAAATTATTCTGCCATCAGTTATGAACAAGTTGGGGTTGAAGCCTTAACCAGAAAGGTATGCTGCAGAAACCCCTTCCCTCTATCCAAATGATTTCTCAAAGTTATCATCTTCAAACCATGAGAATTTCTTTTAATTTAAAAAAATGAATTTTTTCTGTTCAAAAGTTTTTCTGTTTTTCTGCTTTCCCAAAAAGTCACTTCTCCAGAGATGCCCCATTTAAACTTGAGTGCAAAGAATTTGTCAACTTCTTGTTTTGCAGCCAAAGCCAAATCTTCCCAAGAGGCCTCTCGTCATCGGACTGACGGGAGGGATCTGCAGCGGCAAGACCAACATCTGCAGGAAGTTGGAGGATCTCGGAGCAGGGATCGTGGACTGCGATGCCCTGGGACACCGGGCTTATGCCAAACAGACCTCGGCATATCACAAAGTCCTAGATGTGTTCGGAAGGGACATCCTGGATGGAGATGGGAACATCGATCGCAAGAAACTCGGTGCCAAGGTTTTTGGGAACAAGGTGTGGTGTTTTGGTTCCTCTCTCACTTTCTTGCAGCCCCAAGAGTAGGTGTGAAATGCTGATAACCTCCATAATTCTGGAGGGATCATGGCACTATTAAACTCGGTGCCAAGGTTTTTGGGAACAAGGTGTGGTGTTTTGGTTCCTCTCTCACTTTCTTGCAGCCCCAAGAGTAGGTGTGAAATGCTGATAACCTCCATAATTCTGGAGGGATCATGGCACTATTGTAAATTTCTGCCCTCGTGTACATCATTCCATTGTTAAACAAAGACTTCAACTTTTACAACCATATGAACTTTGTTGTTAAGGCTTAGTTTTACTTTCTAGAAGGAAGACTAAACTTGATAGTGGAATGTAGTGTAGCTTTCCATGTCTGCTGAGGCTTGACTGCATGAAATTTTCCATAGATGTGGTGAAGAAATTAGATAGCAATGGGTCTGATGCCATGAATAGACTTGCTCTTTTAAGTACTTTTTTTGGACAAATTGTTTGGAGATACATGATAAAGTCAAGAAATCATACATGAGTACCTAGATGAAATTCATGCATAAATAAATCCAGGAACTGCTTTTAATGTTTGCTCTGTTTGTTTTTAATAAATTTGTACAATACACCTGTATTGTACAAATGTCTAACGCCATTTACAGTAAAGACAAGGTCGAAAGAATTAAGCCATTTGTTACTCCTTAGGCTTTAACTTCAGTAGATAACTTTTTACCAGTTACATTTACCATTTACATTCAGATGTGATATGCTGGCTGTCCCAGATTTCAGTATGAGGTCAAAAGCCCTCTTGGATAAGGCACTCATTGCTAGGGCTATGAGAGAAAGGGTGAAAGAGAGTGCTTGATCGCAACTAGGATGTTTTAATATGTGCAAAATCGTCTCTCAACCCCGCCATCACTGCACTTTAAACCTCGTGTTCGGCCTGCTAGGAGGAGATGGCTCGCCTGACGGGGATCGTGTGGCCGGAGATCCAGAAGAAGGCGATGGAGAGGATCCGAGAGTTCGGCGAAGAAGGGAAGGAGGTGGTGGTGTTGGATGCCGCCGTCCTCCTCGAGGCCGGCTGGGATGCCGTCTGCCATGTCGTCTGGGTCTCCTTCGTGCCAGAGCAGGAGGTAGGCCTTCTGCATCCATTGCAACTTTTCTTTGTAGGATGTGGTTTGCCCGGCGTTGAGAGTCCTGAGTATTAACCTCTTCAGACCCGACGGCAATATTGCATACCAACATATTTTGGCTCGTTGTCTAAGCTCGACCTCTGGTGGGCAAAGCAAAGAAGCCAATAGTTGTATCCTTCTTGGTATTGGAGGAATAGAGTGGCATGTTTATCACATGCACTGTTTCACAGTGAAAAGAAGCTAACAGGAAGCCAGTGATGAAGGATCATATTCGAAAATCGTTTCTAGGGCCTGTCGCTGTCATTGCGCCAACAATAGCAGCATATTAGGCTGGACGTTAATTTCAATACCACTGGATCCATACTGATCGAGGAGTTCCATGTAATTGGACCTTGAAACGCAAATAATATTGGCGCAATGCCTCATGGTCTGTGTACATGCTATCTATATTTTGACTCATCCCATTAGAGCTCTATAATATCCCTTTGAGGTCAATAATGAAAAAATTGAAAATAAAGTACCAAGTTCGCAAGTCCCTGCTACGATGCAGACCGAGTGCAATGAACCACTTTTTTTTCTTTCGTGGAGTTTTTCTTAACTCTGCTACGACTGACAGCTTGGCTCATGACGTAGAAGCGATTAGATCGGGTTCCAACATTTTGATATTTGGCATGTGTACATGGCACAGGGTCTGATGGGATCCCTGCCTCCTTCAAGGGGGCTGGGATCGTTAAGAATTACTTTTGATGAGTGGGGAATTTGTGGCTTCTTGGTGACATGTTGCAAGCAGCAAGCAAAACGTCTGGCACTTTCATCTGAAGCTATATCCTGTACCCTTGCGTTGAGGCTCGATAATTTTTGCTTCATATTAATATCTGAAATGCATGCTTATACTGTGAGCAATACTAGGTGGGTGGTCGTTTGTCAGGTGCAGAAAGAAAATTCCAGACGGTCGAGATGCCCTGCAGCATCATTTGAAAATAGAGAAGAAAGAGCTAAAAGGGTTTTTCTCACATTGCAGTGTCTCTTTTTTTGTTTTGCTAAAACAACTTGTACATTCTGTGAAAATTGAAGCGGGTAAATCAATTAGTAAAATAACTAATACGATTGGTTATCCTTTTATTAAAGCAAATTTCTACTGGTATGTAGATAGCATGGTAGCGGGAAAATGCCATTTTGGCTCTAGTGCATACCAGCCCTCTTCGAGAAAGAGCAGCTTTCGTTATTCATTGAATTACGTCGTTCCCGTTGCACCTGGAACAGGCCGTGAAGCGCCTCGAGGCGAGAGACGGGGTGGACGCGGAGGCGGCCCGCCGCCGCTTGGCCTCCCAGTGGAGCAACCGGGACCGCATCGCCCGGGCCGACGTCGTCTTCTCCTCCCTCTGGTCCTACGACTTCACTCGCGGGCAGGTGGAGCGCGCCTTCA